AAACTAAAAAGGGTTGGGAGAGGTAGTTAAGTGCATAAAATCCTGAGTTTGACCCCTAAGACCAGAAAAGGGAAAAAAAGAAAGGAAAAGAAAGAAAAAAAATGAGAGGAAGAAGTGTCTCAAGTAATAAGTCATTAGGCCAGCAAGATAGCTCTGTGGTCTAAAGCACCTTCTTAGGCAAGCTTAGGCAAGTGCTCAGGGACTGAAGTTTGATCCCCAACACCACATGACACTCCCGCTTCGTCCCCAGGGTGGGCTGAGGGGACCACAAAAAAAGAAAAAGAAAGTCACTGATCCAGATGTGAATCCACTGGGCTTCAGGGCCAATGCTCTGAACCACACAGAGCTTTGGCTTTTATGTACAAAGTCCTGAACTGAACAGTACAAGACACAATCTCTGTGGGATTCAGCCACCATTAAAAGAAGTCAAGAAGGCCGGATATGGTGGCAAATGCCTGTATCCCAGCACTTGGGAGGATTAGGCAGGAGGATTGCCATGAGTTCGAAGCCAACCTATACTACCAAGTTCAAGACTAGCCTGGGCTACACAGCAAGATCCTGTGTCAAAAAAACTTTAAAATTTAAAAAAAGCCCCCAAAGCCCTCATGTGTCCATGGGTCAGGCTCGAGGAAGGTGACTAGATTGTGGGGTGCTGTACCCATCAGTGAAATCATCTACTGGTAAGTTCAGCAGCTGAGTGATCCGCTCGCTGGCAGGTGAGGGCTGGCCAGGAAAGGCAGATCCTGGGGGGAGGGTATTATCTCCCTGCACTGTTCCCTCCTGTACTTTCTCTGCTTCCTGATCACAATGACCAGGGCAGTTTTTCCTCTATGCAGGCTCTTCCACCATGCTGCTCTGCCTTGAAGCCGGCAAACCAGAAACTGAAAATATAAGTCAAAATAAGTCCCTTGTCCTTTAAGCTGTGCATACCAGGTTTGTCCCAGCTGTGAGAAAACAACTAACACAGCCTCAAGTGAGTGGACGACAGAAAGTGGCCAGAAGGAAGGCCCAGTGGCGCACAGGAGGAGCCCAAGCACAGAGGGGCGCTGTGCGCATGTGCACAGCAGGAAGTGGAGAGACTGCTGGGTCAGCCACTGCCCCTCAGCCAGAAGGCAGTGGCAACAGGAGCTAAATCTGCTGCCTACTGTCCCCCGCATCTGTGGGATTTTTTTGAGTGTGCTGTGTATATGGCTGCATATCAAATCACTCCACACCTTAGCAATTTAACATAGCAAATGTTTACTATTTGCTTCTATTGGTCAGGAATTCAGGCATGATCTAGTTGAATCTTTATGCCTGGGTCTTTCATGAAGTTTCATTTGAGATACTGAGCAAGGCACAGTCACCTGGAAGCCCAACAAAGGTGGGAGGCCTCATTCCTGAGATGGAGCTTATGGCTACTGGAAGGAGATCTCATTTCCTCGCCTTGGCTTTTTCATAAGACTCCTTGAGTGTCCCCCAGCATGGCACTAGTTTTCCCAGGGCAGGTGATCTTAGAAACGAGGACACTGTAATGTCTTTTATGACTTAGTCCTAGAAGTCTCACTAATCATTTCCATAGTATCCTTTAAATTGAGGGATTTCCCTATGCATTGTGGGATTTCCCTATGGATTGTGGGATGTCCCTATGCATTATGGGATGAGTCTATTTGAGAGAATGAAGCATGAGAGACCATCTTAGAGGTTGGCTATCAATTTATTTATTTATTTATTTTTAAAATTTATTTATTTATTTGTGTGTGTGTGTGTGTGTGTGTGTGTGTGTGTGGCCAGCTCAGCCCACCAGGGGGCAGGGCTGGCTGGCATGTGGTGCTGGGGGATTGAACCGAAGTCCCTGTGCTTTGCTAAGCTTGTTCTAAGTAGGTGCTTTAGACCACTGAGCCATCTCACCAGCCCCTTGGCTATCAATTTAAATTACTAAAATTCATCAACATTAATTACTTGCATCTGGAGGTCCACAAAAAACATGTTTTGTTTACTATTACATTTTCAGAACTGAAAACAGTGAAGGCACATTATATAGGAAAGACTCAATGAATAGCTTACAAGTAAGTGAAAAAGACCACAAGGAAGAGGTAGTACTTGAGGGTTGGATGTTACACTTGATCTTTGCCAAAAGGTTGAGAAGCAATTGAGGGTTGGATAGACTCATAAAGTTGATTGAAGTTTTTAAAGCTTTCTTGTTTTTTTTTAATAAGACCAAGTCATTCCTTTCACATAAATACCAGGCAGAGAGTAAACATTCCCCCATAATTCTACCCTACAAATCAAGGAAACCACAGTAAAACTGCATGAACATGGAGACAAACTCGGTAGGATGAAGAGTCAATAAACTACGACTAAAAACCCTGAGCATGGTGGCTGGCACAGAACGGATACTTGGGTCAAGTGCTAATTTTACATGTTAGTATATGTCTATGTAGACTGTATTTACTGAAGATGGCCATATTTAAATATTTATCTCATCTAGCATGTTCTTCTAAAAACGTTCCTGAACTCCTCACACAGACAGATAGGGGTATTTTTTTTTTTTTTTTAATCTGGGTAGGAGCTTGCAATCTCCCCAGTCCACACAGCACAGCAGAAGTGATGCTACGTGACTTCTGAGACTAAGTTACAGGAGACCACCTTATCCCACGGGCGCCTCTCTGTATGCTCACCCTTGGAGCCTGGCACCACGCTGTGAGGAAGCACAGGCCACTAGGCCAGGCGACGTGGGAACACTTATGAGTGTAAGCTTACACTGCAAGGGGTGAGCACCACAGCACTTTCCTGACCCCAGCCCCAGACTCTGCCTCTTTCACTTGATGTCCCACGCATCAACCTTACTGTGCCCGTCTACACTTCTAGCCCATGGGAAATAACACAGTTATAATTATTTTAAGTCACCAGGTTTTGGGATCATCTATTTGTTAGCAACAGCTAATGAAATACCCTTCCAGAATTTCCTCTAGTTTCAAGGGAAAATTTTTTTAAAGACATTTATGTATTCACTCACAGATTCACCCAACTGTGTGACTCCAAATGATCCATAATATTTGGGTTTCTCTGTGGACGATATTGTAAACCCTGTGGCCGAAGCTGGACATTCTGGGCATGGAGACAGGGTGTTTGCCCAAAGCATGGATATATTAGATGAAAGCGTGTACTTACAGAGTCGCAGGGTCCCACTGTATAAAGTCACAGTTCTTCTGAGTTGCTAACCACACTTCTGAGACAAGAGTCTGGGAGACTGTGCGGGTAACTGGTGTGGTGCGGAAGGCACACAGAGGACAGATGATCAGGACAGGAGCTTGTCCTTGTGGTTGGATTGGGCAGTGAGGAGGGAGCGAGGGCTGACCACGCCTGGCCGTGAATGTCACGCTGTGCTAGCATGTCATGTAATGTAATGGCCACGCGAGGACAGTGTTGCTCAGTGGTCACAGGAAAGTGAGTCCTGCAAACATTGATCTTTTGCTTGAGCTACTCCCTCAAGAACCAGAGGCTAGCAAGATGGAATTCAAGCCTGGCTTTTCTGATGAGTCGTGAGCTATGCGACTTTAAAAGGAAGCACACACAGGTTCCCCCTAGAAGCGGTAACTCTAGAGAAACTGGCTCTATGGAAGCCACATGAGTCACTCTCAAGCCCTGTATGCAGCTGCTGCAGGCCAGGCCTGTGTCATCTTTTATGTCTAGAGATGGGTTAAACAACCTGCAACCCTCATGCTAAGATGAGATTTCTTTTTTTCTTTTCTTGTTGCGGAACTGGGGATTGAACTCAGGCCCTTGCACTTGCCAGTCAAGCACTTATTCTACTGAGCCATCTCCCTGGCCCATGATAAGATTTCTAATCCACTTTAAAGACAGATGAAAAACTACAACTCTGAGGCCAAAGCACAAGTCCTTAAGTGTGAAGATATCAACTCTACCATACCTGCTCTCACTCGGGGATGAGATAAAGCAGATAAAGCCCACCCCATCAAAGTGGTCTGCAGCAGGGGCTAGGACCAAGGGCCAAGGTGGTCTCAGCAGGTGGTCTGAGCCAGGGGCTGTCCACAGTAAGCAGAGTTGAGAAAACTGCAGATCTGGCTGTCCTGCTGATACACAACAGCCCTGCCTGAGGGGACATCACTTGTTGACACTTTATCAAATGTTCAAAGTCTGCTTGTCATAGCAATTTGAAGACAATGAAAAACTAGGCCTAAGAGATTCACCTGACCTGGAGTCCCATGGAGGCCACTTCTGCCCTCAGCCAAGTTAATTTCTCTCTCTAAGGCACGGTTTCTCCACTTACAAATGAGAAATAGCAAACTTTTACCGTGCAGTTCAGGCTGGCTTTAACTCACTTTGTAGCCTGGCCTCCAACTCAAGGGGATGCTCCCCGCTCAGCCACCCTAGTGCTGGGACTACAGACACGTGCCACTACGCCTGGCCTTTTCTTTTTACGGTTTTTTTGTGGTGTGTGTGTGTGTTTGTTTTTTTGTTTTTGTTTTTGTTTTTTTTTTTTTTTTGAAACAGGGTCTTGCTCTGTAATTCAGGTTGGACTCGAACTCACTGGTCTCCTGCCTTAGCCTTCCCAGTACTGTGCTACCGGCATGTGCTACCACTCCTGGCTGCAGTTTGATCGTAAAAACATTAAAATCCAATTTCATATAAATCAAGAAGGCTGCAACATCTAGGTCAATACATGGCATAGGAACAAACTGCAGACAGTGCCAGGCCAATCCCCGGAGGTGCTTGCCATGAGCTCCACAATCACTCTCACTTCAGACGCCTGGCCCAGCTCCCGGCCACGGTATGGCGATCTAGGGAGAGATCCGGCGCCTTCAAGCCTCCTTCCTCCTGGGAAAAGCATGCTGTGACCCCCACCTCCCCAAGGTTTCCAGTTCTTCCCAGTCCGCTCCGGGGCCCAGCGGGCGCGGGGGGCGCAGCCTAAGGGGAGTCCTAGGCGGGCAGAGTCCGCCCGGGGGCCCGCTGAGTCAGCCCTGCGCGCGCACCGCGTGACCGCAGCCACGTGACCCGCTCTGGGCGGGGCACCTCAGTCCTGCCTGCTGCAGCCGCGGGAGCGGTGCTCGTAAGTGGGGAGCTGGGTAGGCGGGGCCTTCCCGGGGGATGGGGGTCCGGGACCCCACCGTCTCCCACCCCTTCCTCTGTGGGCCGGAGAGGCGAAACGATCGTAATGGGGTGGGGGTAACGCGACCCCACCGACGGTGGAGCAGGCCACCTCTGCCTTGGGCTTCCCCACTCAACTGATCGCAGTGCTGAGGTGCAGGATGGTGAACCGCCCTCCTGGAAAGATTACCTTTGGTCCCTTGTGCTTTGGGAGAAACTTAAGACCCGGTAAGGTTCTGCTAAGTAAGGCAAGTGGTGGGAGCGCCCGTTGCCCAGAACTGAAAGAGAACGCAAGGTCCCCAGGCAGCAGGGGCTTCCACCTCCCGTGGGGGCCAGAGAGGCCTCCATTGGTATAGGACCTCCAACAGTGTAGGGCAAGTATTAGAACTCAATCTGCTAGATTACCATTCGTCGAGGTTGTGTTCCTCAAAATTGAAGAATGAATTCTGACGAAAAACAGAGATTAAGAGTAGGAAATTGTATTGAAAGACAGCTCCTCAGAGGCCAGAGGGGTCCCCAGGAGGTTGCCATGGACCCCCACTTTCCAGAGGAAGTTTTATGGAGCAAAATCACTAGGTGGTTGCAAAAGCACAAGGTGGGACAAAATTATGGTCAGCCAATAACCAAGTATAGCTACTTAGGTAATGTTGATCCAATAGGGAAGCAAGTCACCTAGCAAGTGTATAAGGAAAGGAGCTTTTCAGGAAGGGATAGGTCCAAGGGTCTTGGTCACCTACTGAGGGGACTGATGTTTTTCTAGACTGTGTTGGACCAGCTGTTGCCATTTCCGTTATTCCTTGGGGAACCATGTAGGCCTGGTCATTGCATCTTTATCTTTTATCTTTTTTAGTGCATTTGATACAAGGCCTCACTACACAGCTTGGACTCTTAGTGATCCTGCTGTTTTCAGCCTCCCCAGCATTGGAATTACAGGCATGTGCCACCATGCCTGGACTCAATGTCCACCTCAGCACACCCCGGGGGCAGGGCCAGTGTGGTCTGTGGTGCCAGGGATGAAATCCTGGTCCTGGTGCTTGCCTAAGCAGGTGCTTAGCCTGCTGAGTTATCTCACTGGTCCTTGCATCTTTATTTTGAGGTTTGGTGTCCAACAGATGCGTCCCTGGCCACAGTTTAATGTGTTATAATCTTTTGTATTGATTCTGAAGGCCCAGCCCAGTCTGACTGCCTATAACATTTCTACCTAACTTGACTGTCTGTAATACCATGAACCTCCAGGGATTGAGGGAGAATGGAGGAGAGAGTTGCATGCCCATCCTGGATGGCACTAGGGGTATAGTGCAGGAAACAAGATAGTAATAGTCAGCATTTAATACTGTGTTGTTTGTTCCATTCTCATTTACCCCAGTATTCCTATCATAACATTTGGGGGGCTAGGTATTACTGTCCACGATTTTATGTAGCACAAAATGGGCTGGATGGGTCGTTGATTGGTTAAAAAAATAGGGGTGTTGAGATTAGAACCTAGCTACGCCTCACAGTAGCACCTCCCTTTCCTCCCCAGCCTGTTGCTCTGAACTGAAAAGTCAGCGCCTTTTTCGTACTCAGTTTGGAAAGGAAGTGGGCACAGGATTCTTCCTCAGCCCGAACCTTTTGCGTTTCTTTTCTGCCCTGGCTCTTTACCTAATGTTAAGTTTGTTCTGACATATCCTCTCCCCACTGCAGAACACAATGAAACTCATCATCCTGGATCACTATTCGCAAGCGAGTGAGTGGGCTGCCAAATATATCAGGAACCGTATCGTCCAGTTTAACCCGGGGCCGGACAAGTACTTCACGCTGGGACTGCCCACTGGTGCGTGGTGGGATGGAGAGGCTGCCGTGGCAGGGTGTAGGTAGTGTGGGTGTCGGGCTTCTAGGGGCCAGATACGGGGCTCACATGGCCCTGGACTGAAAGGAGGCTGGAGGTACTGGTGTTGTGAGAACTCCGACCCGCTGCCCACACCAAACAGGACTCAGTTTCCTGTGTGGCCTCTGTGGTTGTGTGCCCATAGAATCCTGGAACAGAGAGATCATTTTTATTAGTCAGAAGAACTGGAGTTTTAGGTTACATCCTAAGTCAACCCTGTCATCCAGGGTTTCTTAGCAGAATTAAATCCTGATGCCCCAAGGCAGTCATTTTATGAAATGAATTAATTTCCCTTTTGTACATGTAGGGGGTAGCAGCTAAGCACTATCCTTGGGAGAGTTGACACTGTAATCTCTCAAATAATTTGCCCTAAGACTTAATTGAGCAGAGAACTTAAGTGAAAAGCAGGCCCAGTTTCGTTTAGAAAAGGTCAGGATGTTAGCTTTACAGGAAGATACTTTGACCCCAGTTCCTCAAGGAGAATGTCCTGATTATTTCTGTTACACGGGCATTTATCCTAGAGATCTTACAGGGCCCATTCACTGGAACAGCAGCCTTGAAACTTTTTCTGTAATTGACCAACCAGTAAATATTTCAGGTTTCATGGTCGCAGCTGTTCATTTCTACCACTAGCGTGTGTGAAACAGCCACAGACAATACATGGATGAATGAGTGTGGCTGTATGCCAATAAAACTTTATTTGTGGACTCCTGTTTGAATTTGAATAATTTCCTGTCATAAAATATTCTTTTGAGTTTTAAAAAAGAACAATGTAAGAAAAACCCTCTTAACTCATGAGGTGTAACAAAAGAGGCAGCCTTTGGGCTAGAGTCTGCTGAGCTCTGCCCAGGAGGCTTGTGGGAGTCAGGTGGGCCTGTACCTGTGAAACCACTGATGGATGTCTCAGTCCCAGGAGGGCTAGGTTAACATCCTGTCTCCTCGCCGAGGGTGCTCCCTCCACCTGGTCAGTGCCTGGATTTTGCTACAGCTCCTTCGAAGTTCTAAGCTCCTCAGAGTGAATTCAAAGCCCTTCACAATACAGCCCCGCCCTGCCATCATGTTTTAAACAGCAGGAAGCGCTTTCTTCTGGGCTACTTGGGGCGCTCTTTCCACTAGATACAGCATGGGTCAGTTCTGGGTGGAAGCCCTAGAAACCAACTTTCACTAAAAGAAACGGTAAAAAAAAAAAAAAGAGTATCAGCTGTATACTGGGGAACTGAAAACATTGGCAGGAAGGCCAGAGGTTTGGAAAATGTCAGGACAGGCATGGAGAAGGCTTGGTCACGGGGACCAGATGAGTAGTGAGTGGGGTGAGGAGCTGCCACTGTCTTTCATTCGTGAGATACTCATTGAGTGCCCTCGGTAAGCTGAAGAATTTTAGGGGTGCAGCAACAAACAAAAGGTTTTCAGTTCCTGTCTCCAAAATTCACATTATAGTGGGAGAGATAATACGTTAATTAGCAAAACAGTATGTTGGGCGGTATTAAAAGGAAATAGAAAAGTGGAGCAGCCAAGAGGAATAGGGAGCATTTAGAGCCGGACTGGGGTCAGGGGAAGCCTCTGAGAAAGTGACATTTGGGGAAAGGCCTCAAGAGGTGCATTAGCCATGCAGGTATGTGAAGGAAGAGCGTTTCTGGGCAGGAACAGCCTGGGCAAAGGCCTGAGGTGAATGGCCAGTGCAGGTGAGGAGCACAGAGGAGGAGCCGGGGCTGTTATGTGGAGCCTGCGGAAGGACTGGCCGTTATTGAGTGCAGTGAGCTGTGGTGAGCTTTGAAGAGACAGTGACACGGTTTGATTTGGATTTCTTTTTCTTCCATATTTTTACTTGGAAAAGTTTCACATATTCAGAAAAGTTGAAATTAACAACATAGTTACCATTCATCAGGATGCACCATTTGTTACTGTTGGGTTTTGTTTTCTGGCTTGTGGCCTATGCACACAGGATTCTTTTTTTCTAAACCTTTTCAAAAATAAGTTCCAGATATCTTGACACCATACATCTAAAATTTCCAATTTCTGTCTTCTGGGAATGAAAACATTGTCTTCCATAAATCCCATTTCATTATCAGACCTAAGAACAACAGGTGGACCATATTCTACAGTACCATCTAATATATAAGCTGAGTTAAAATTATTCCTAGTTGTGCCTCTATCTTTTATGGGTGGCTTCTATTCAATTACTCTGGTGTCCAGTCATGGTTCTTACATCTTTAGTTCCTGTTCATTTGCATGGCAGCAGACTGAACCCTGTGCATTTGAGGCAAGTGTTCTACCACTGGCCACACTCCAGCTCCCTCCTCCAGCCTTTTGTTTTGTGTTTTATGAATCTACCTCTCCTGGGGGAAGTCCTCCCTGAACCCAGAAGCACAGCAGATGCTCCTGTTCTCTGTTCACACTCCTAGCCAGGGGCTTTCTCCTCGGACAGCTGCTCTCTGCTCTCTGTCCCATCCATGGCCTCGTGCCTCACATAAATAGTAGCTTTGAACCGTCACGTTAGTAATTGTCAAATGAGCACTTAGCTACATATGGGCAGAGTGATTTCAGTCAGCGGGATGCTAGGCACTGGGGATCCAGCAGACAGATAGACACAGTGCCATCCTGGAGCCTGCATTCTATTGGGTAGTGGGTACTGAGTAACCAGGTACTGGACAGAGAACAGTTAGGGCTGGAGCATTAGGTAGGAGGGTAGAACCAATGTGCTTCTCTCAGATGGGATAGAGGCTCTTGGGGGCATAGCCCTCCTCATTCCTATGCAGCCCCTGAACTTGAAGCAGCTGTGCCTGAGAGGTGTTCCTGGGGGTGGCAGCATTCATAGCTAAGGCATCTCTTGCAGGGAGCACCCCACTTGGCTCTTATCAGAAGCTGATCGAGTACTATAAGAATGGGGACCTGTCCTTTAAATATGTGAAGACCTTCAACATGGATGAGTATGTGGGTGAGTCTTTGTCTTCTGGGATTCTTGTCTGATTCCAGTAGAGTCACACTTCTCACAGGCTTGACCCTGTAAAAGAACGGGGTGTGTTGGGGAGCTGGGGCTACCTAGAGAGAGTTTGCTTACTAATACCCATCTTGGGTTTACTCAGCTAGACCGTGGGGCTACTGCACAGAGCTCTAATCCCAGTACTCCCCAGAGGCTGAGGCAGGAGGATTGCATGTTCAAGCCTCACCTGGGCAGTTTAGTAACTTAGTGAGACCCTGTCTCAAAGTTATTAATAATTTAAAGAGGGACGGAGGGGGGCAAATAGTTCAGCAGATTAAAATGCCTACAAGCAGGCACAGGCCATGGGTTTGATCCTTGGGTCTGCCATGCAGGCCCTGCCCCCAGGGCACACTGAGAAGGTGGCAGTTGAGACTGGGTATGGTGGCACATGCCTGTAATCCCAGCTCTTGGGAGGCTCTGGTTGTGCAACAACAGTCCGTGTTGGTGCACAATTACCAGTTGGATCTAGTAGTGAGACCCTGAACACCCTATAGACCCTTGCCTAAAATACAGTCAATCAATCAATCAATCAATAAAAAGGCAATGATCCTGAGAATCTCCAGAAGATTTTTGCATCTAGCAGTTAATTGGAAAGATTCTCACCCTGACTAACTATATATACTGATACCTGTGAACTAAGCAACTGTACTGCAGATGGTAATCTTTAATAGTAGTTTCATGCTTGGAGTGCCTGCCATTCTGGTCTTCTGAATATGGGCTGCTTGTCATGACATGACAGTTGCTGGTATGCTGTCTCTCGGGTAGATGCTTGTTCAAAAAGAAGGGGGTGGTGAATGAAAGCAAAAGACAGGAAAAGGAATATTGTGGGACTATCCTGCTTTAAGGTTGTATATGATGAGATTTTTGGACTTATGTATAAACATAAGTCTATAATTCTTTATGCCTATTTTTAAAATATATTCTAATTTTTAAATGTTTTTTATCATATTCTGAGGGACTTAAAGTTCAACATACCAATACTTGATGAAAAATACCTGTTCCATATTATGCCTAAGATGTTTGATATGCAGACAGATAGAGGTTAAGCTTAACAGCCTAAGTTGTATGTAATAACAATAAGCTTCTCTTCTGGATGGTTAACAACCTAAGTTTGCAGACCAAAATTAGAGAAAAAGGAGGGCTGCAAGGAAAGCCAACATTTTGGCCCTAACCTTCTAAGGTCAATTAAGACTCAGGACATATGAGAACTTGTACTGTAACGTCATGTAACTCGGCAGGGTCCCAAATTTTCTGATCAAGGAGATTATGGGGCCAAAGAGGAAAGTGATCAATGATGTAGACTGTGCCTAAGGAGAGTCACATGGAGAGAAAACATTCTCTCAGGCTTTCACAGAGAGCTCATTGGCCAAGCAATGGCCGTGACTCATCCACATGGCTGATACTGACAAACAATCTGAGGTACAGGATCTCAGGATAAATCCTGAGGGGATTTCACTGACCTTATCAGTCCCAAAAGCTACAACTTTTGTTGCATAGGTCCTGCTTTACCTTGGTCTTAACCACCCAGCAGAAAAGTATAAAACGAAATATAAGAATTAAAGCCATGCTGTTATGTTGAGCTGTAAGGGACTCAGGTCAACAATTTCTGACATTGCCAGTGAAGTGGAAGACCCAAACTATTATGGACTACTGAACTCTTTTATTTTGCTGAGTTAACACACCTATAATATTCAAATAATGGAACTTAACAAAAAAAGGGTATACAGATGAATGTCCATTTTGTATCCAGTGGTTAGGATAGATATATAGTTACGTTCTCTTAATGAATAGAGTGATTTGTTCTAATGGTGTTTGTAGATAGGATATCATGTCCGCATCTTGTACAGCAATTAACCACTGGGAGAAATGTATGCAATGTGTTAATTATTGAAACTGCCCTACCAATTTGAGTTGAAACTGTCTCATTGCTATTTGTTTATCAATAAAATTATGGAAAATAAATAAATGCATACATTAAAAAATAAAAAATAAATAAGTAAAAAGGGCTGGGGATGTAGCTCAATGCAGATGCCCTAGGTTCAACGACAAGTACCTGAAAGGAAAAAAGAAAAAATTGACCTCATGAGGTGTGATCATTAAGTGAATTTGGAAGTTCCTTAGAAGTAGTAGACATGAATGAGCACTTAATAACTAGGGCACCTCTTCCTTGTGCCCATTCTCCAACTCCACGCCTTTTCTTTTTATTTTATTTATTTATGTATTTTGTTTTGTTTTTTGCGGAACTGGGGATTGAACTCAGGCCCTTGGCGCTTGCCAGGGAAGTGCTTATTCCACTGAGCTGTGTCCCTGGCCCCAATAAGCATTTTTTTTTTTTTTTTTTTTTTTTTGCTCCAAATGCCTTCAGGGCAGGTTTGGCTGGCTGGAGTTGTGGGGATCGAACTACAGCAACCTGAGGCTGACAGCTTTGTGTAAGCAGCCACTTAAAGAACTGAGCTAGGGCCAGGCCCCCTTTTTATTATTATTATTATTATTATTATTTTTATTTTATTGAGAAATAGCAAGGAGACAGTTTCAAAAATAATTAGTAGGACAGTTTCAATAATTAATACATTGCATATTGTTGTCTTCATAGTGGTTATTCATAGTACAAGATGCAGACATGTTATCCTGTCCAAACACCATTAGTACAAATCTTCTCACTGAATTAATAGAAAGTAGCTGTATATTTATCCTAACTATTTTGCATATACAGATACAAAATGGTCCTTCATTTGTATCCCCTTTTTTTGTTTAGTTTTGTCAGAGATGGGGTATTCCATTGCTATTTGAATATTGTAGGTACGTGAGTTCAGCAAAATAATCTAGTATAGTCCAGTAGTCCATAGTAGTAGTTCCACGCCACTTCTGTACAGGACAAAAGCATGCATGTGCATCCGCACTGACGCACGTCCCCCAGGTCTGTGTCTCCTGCTTGCTTCCTCCACCTCCTCTTTCTACCAGGTGCACTTGGAGGGAGCTGGGACAGTGCTTTTCCTCCTCTGAACCTTGTCTTCTGCCAACCCTTCATCATTTATTATTGTAAGATACATAAACATAAAATTCATCATTTCTAAAACATGGTGTGGGAGCCGGGGAGATAGCTCAGCAAGGCCCTGAGTTCAGTCCCCTGTACCACAAAAGAACCAAAAAAAACATGGTATGATTTGCAGCCCTGTAGCCCCAACTACTGAGGAGGTTGAGGCCAGATCAAGGCCAACAGAGCCAGACCTTGTCTCAAACAAAACAAAACAGTCATCTCAAAGGGTTTTTGTGTGTGTGTTTTCAGACAGGGTCTCACTTTGTAGTGCAGGCTGGCCTTGAACTTGTCAATCTTCCTGCTTCAGCCTCCTGAGTCCTGGGATTACAGGGGTGTACGGCCATACTCAGTTTAAGCACTTTTGTATGTCCAGGTACAGTCTGTGTTGCTGCACAACCAGACTCAAGGACTCTGTTATCCTGCAAGTGTGAGAGTCTATCCGTGTCACACAGCTCCCTCTACCTCTTCTTCCCGGGCTTGGAAGCCATCTTCTTGTCTCTGTGAATCAGACTTCTTTCAGCTCCTCAGTGCATGTTTTTTGTTGTTGTTGTTTTGTTTTGGGGTTTTTTTGGCAGAACCAGGGATTGAACTCAGGCCCTTGTGCTTGCCAGGCAAGCACTTATTCTCCTAAACCAGCTCTCTGATCCCTCTCAGTGCATGTTTTCAAGGTGAATCTGTGCTGTTGCATATGTTAGCATTTTTTCCTTTTTAAGGCTGATCTTATATTTGAACTCAGACCCTTGTGCTTACCAGGGAAGCACTTATTCCACTGAGCCATCTCCCTGGCCCCAATTTTTGCTTTTGTGGTACTGGGTATTAAACCCAGGGCCTCACCCACTCCAGACTCCAGGCAAGTGCTGGGTCACTAGCTGCATCTTCAGCCCTGATCTTATTCACTCTCTCTCTCTCTCTTTTTTTTTTTTTGGTGGATACCAGGAATTGAACTCAGCACTTGCTAGGCAGGTGCTGTAATCTTAAAGAGTCTTGGAGTTTTTTTTTTTGCAGTACCAGGAAATTGAACTCATGAGCCTGTGCTTGCCAAGCAAGCACTTATTCTGCTGAGCTATCTCCCTGGGCCTTAACTATTCTTGATAATTAACATTAAACAGGGGCTGGAGAGATGGCTCAGTGGTCTAAAGCACCTACTTAGAACAAGCTTAGCAAAGCACAGGGACCGCGGTTCAATTCCCCAGCACCACATGCCAGCCAGCCC